CCCCACCTGGAGTACTGCATCCAGCTCTGGAGTCCCCAGCATAAGGATATGGACCTCCTGGAGAGTGTCCAGAGGAGAGCCACAAGGATGGTCCGAGGGCTGGAGCACCTCTCCTATGAGGAGAGGCTGAGAGAGTTGGGGCTGTTCAGCCTGGAGAAGAGAAGGCTCCGGGGAGATCTTATTGAGGCCTTCCAGTACCTAAAGGGGGCCCACAGGAGAGCTGGGGAAGGACTTTTTACTAGGGCATGGAGTGATAGGACGAGGGGGAATGTCTTTAAACTGGAAAAGGGCAGGTTTAGATTAAACATTAGGAAGAAGTTTTTCACTTTGAGGGTGGTGAGGCACTGGAAGAGGTTGCCCAGAGAGGTTGTTGAGGCCCCATCCCTGGAGGTGTTCAAGGCCAGGCTGGATGTGGCCTTGGGCAACCTGGTCTGGTGGGAAGTGTCCCTGCCCATGGCAGGGAGGTTGGAACGCGATGATCTTCAAGGTCCTTTCCAACATAAACCATTCAATGATTCTAAATCTGTGGTTTTGCTTTTATTTGAAAAAGACGCGCCCGCATCCACCTTTTAAAAGCTGACATTCACTTACCAAATTAAAAGTGACAACATTTTAGTACATTGTTTATAGCGCCGTGACTTGGTCAATTTTGCCCAAAGGCCTGCCAAAATGCAATTGTCAAGAAAAAAAAAAATTATTTCATATTTTGAGAAACATTTAAAATACTGCCTAGCCACACAGTTGATTGCAGGTAAAATGGAAGAGGTGGCTTCATGCTTTTTCCCTAGGTTTGTCTTATTTTGTGATGTGGGATGGCATCTACAGGTTATGCCTGCTGCTACTAATCAGCATATAGCACAGTCACAAGCAGCTGTTAAAAGTATACAATTTTCAGTGTTTAAAATTACACATAGAAGTTTAATAATAACAATAAAAAAAAGGAAATAAAAGCCTAAAGACAGAGTTAATTAAGTTTTCCAGTTTGGGCTTTCCACAGAAGCGGCAGAGCCTTCATTTAAGCCTACTTTTACTTAAAAGCTTGAAACAGAGAGATTATTCTTCTTTATTCTGTTATTGCTGCCTATCAGCTGGAAATGAGCTCTTGGGACAGGGCAGCTATGAAGCAGCTCTTCAGGTAGTTTCACCAGCTATGTTACCAGTTCAAAATTTTTTTATGTATCAGGAATTAAATTTCGCTTCCAAGTGCTGCGTGGCCATGTTCCGAGTCTCTAGAGAGGACAACTTCCAGAAAGATAAAACTTTCAAATTCTTGAAGTGTGCTTAATAATGCACTTAATCTACCAAGTTGACTACCTTGATTATATACACTGCATAAAATTTAGCACCGCTTCTTCTGATTCACAGAAAATGAACGTTTTTTTCAAGCTGTAGAACAACTGCCTTTAAAGATGGATCTTCTGCCCAGTTAACTCTGCTTGCAATTATGATATTCTGTAAGAAAGAAAGAGTAATGGTTAAAAAAAAGCCTTTAAAAAGGATTATTCTGAATGAAATCTCTCAAATGCTGTCTGTTTTTTTAATTTGTAAGCCCTTGAAATTCACAGCAGTGTTTGAAGCAGACCGGATAGGGGAGACAGCAGAAAGGGAAGTTCTGTTTTAGAACCTATTGTCAATACATAGGCAAAACAACCCCACGGTCCTCTGAAATTGGTAGAGGTGCTTGCAGACCACCCCTATTTTAAGCATAGGAATTTAGAAGGTTTTTTTTTTTTTTTTTTAAATCCCCACATGAAATAAAGTTTGCCTCAAACACAAAATAACACAGTTAACATTCTCACCCTGCCATTTTGGATCGAAAATGTGAATTACTAAATTTAACCAAAGACTTGCTCTACTTAGAGCTCAGAAGATTTCATGAATACAAAACCAGAAGATAATTCTAGGAATCTAATATAAAGCCTGCTAAAATGTTTAATTTCTCGTTCTCAATTTGAGATGTTACATTGTTATCAATGCCAGTAAATGTAGTGTGCAATAGAAAAACATGTGGCTCTGTTTCTGTCCTTGAAATCCTTCTGATTATCCCAATTCACAGCATGGTTATATCCTGCCTTTTACCTGAAGCCCCCTGACACGTTCTCTCTTTTCTCCCAGTCTAGATTTCAAAAAAACCCCCAACTTTGTGCGTGCCTAACTAGCATTTCATAGCCCGTTTGCCAATAAACTCAAGAGCACTGCAGTTGCAATTCACTGCTCACTGTGCCTCCCATCTTTGTACCAAAGTCAGTGATCTGTGTGGCCAGGCAAAGGAAGCCAGGACAAGTCACGCAGGGAGAGGCAGAGTACCAGACTGCCGCACGGCATACGTGACCTTTAGTCGAGCCCCCCTGAGCACAGGATGCTGCAGGAGGCCCTTCCGCCCTATCCCAAATCGTGAGGTTTTTTTCTTCCTCACTTTGTGTGACTCCACACTGCAGATGACCTGCCGGCCAGCTGCATGGATACAGACTAGTCAGCCGCATCCGATATGTGGGTAACCAAAAGGCTGAAGGCTACACTGCCGAACAGATTTGGAGGCAGATTTGGAGCGTGGCCGTGGCTGCAGGCCACGGCTTTCACAAGGCTGCAGTAGGTGACACAAACAGAGACGCGTGTGTGGTCGGAAGGGGCAGATTGAGGAGCAGCAGTCTGGCTCACTGGTAATCCCACGGTTAAGACCGACTTATTCTTCCTAACCACGGGATGGGGGAACTGATTTCGGGGGTGGTGGTGTAGAGGTGACTCTCTGCGTAAGGAAATACAGCCACTTCTGTGACAGACATTCTCCCAGAAAATGCATTATTTTTATACCTTTAAGGGAACAAAGGAATAAAGGTAGATTGATACTGTCTCTAAATTCTGTAAACAATTATTCCAAAGAAGTTTGTGACAATTTCATGCTTTTAGCCTTTAAAGCAATTGAGTTTTCCTTTCATACAGCAGTTTTTTCATTACCATCGTTACCCAAAGTTTTCAGAAAACACACTTTTGTTTAAGTTACATTTACCATACACTAGGCTATCTTGACTGTAGTGCAAGTTGGCAAACTTGCTTCTAAAAGCTACAACACATTACCTGGAATACATGTTGAATTACTGTAGTCATGTCTCTCTCTTTTTCTAAGTTTTTGTGTATCTTCTGCAGCATTTCACTCGCTTCCGTACTCGCTTGTTCCTCCTGTTTTTTTGTCATGTTATGAATTTGCAGTAGTTTCTGTCTTCCGGCTATTTTTAGCGCTGTTCCGTTATTAGGAAAATTAAGCGTTAAGAAGTAGCTAGGTGAGCAGTAGAAATAAAGATATGCTTTTTTCCTCAGACATCTAAGGCACTTCCACTTCAATAATCCTAACTTCAGACTCCATCCCTTCCCTCCAATATACCTCAAGATACTCCTTTCCCCCAGAAGGCAACCCGTGCTGTGGCTACCTGGTATCAAAGCACATCGATGGGTTGCCTGGCTGCTAGGAAAACAGAAAGTACTTTGTGTACTGCCTGCATTTCCATCAGACATGGACCGTAATTTGAACATCTGTCCTACACCCCACCTTCGGTTGTCACAACCTTGATAGTCAGAGGTATTTAAGACCCTTTCCCTGTTTTCAATTTTGATCAAAACCAAATTCCAGTCGTACAAGGGACCTACGGACAACACCAGTGAATATTTCTAGTTTCTTATTGGAAGCCAGGCTGAAAACTAGACTGAATAAAACAATTATTAACAGTTCATACATTGAAAGAATGCTGACACAGCATTCCTTCCCTTATTTCTGAAGATACTAGCGACATTCATTTTTCCTATGAAGACAGATATTTCATTGTGTTTGTTCGTTACTGTCAACATATACACCACTTCCTGTGCATGAAACAAACAATAGTTGTCAAAACTGTTGGCAAGCCTGGTCATGTGACAGTAGAAGCATTCAGAAAACATAGTTACCTTATTAAAAGATTGACTTCATTTCTAAATCAGACCCACTTTAACAAGCCTACTGAATACCAACAAACTATTATGAGAGTTCTTTGTAAGTCCCCTCCTCTGTTCTGCAAACTTTTGCTAAAGGTAATGTCTGACAAAAAAAAAATCCCTTAGGTGTTGTAGGACTGATTTAAATTACTAAATGATGTGTAATTTTCTGGGGAGCTTACACTAAAAACACCACCACATTCTTTTGGAGCATCTTTTTGCATCTCTCATTCCAACATGTCAGTTTTGTGCTCAAGTAGGCAAGACATCAGCTCATTTTTACAGTGCTTCCTACTCTTTTCAGAAGTTTTATAGCTGTGTTGAGAGTTTCGCAGTTACTTCAAATGTAAATTAACATTGCTACAAGAACTTTAAAATATGAACTGTACATTCAAATATAAAACAAAGTCAATATAGCTAACACACTTACAGAGTCTCTTCCTTTTAATGTCATTCAGTTTCTCTTCATTCTCACGTGCTTGCTGAAAGAAAAAAAAAAAAAAAGGTATTTCCTAGACTCTTGGCCCCAATAAATATTGAAAGATGCTAATTCAATCCACAAAAGCAGTTGAAGGCAGCTCTAGAAACAGACTTTCTTACATACTCACTTTAAGTAATCATTTCAGTAATTTTAACACCAGTACAAACCACAAATTTGGGGCTGTATATTAAGCTTCACATGACTTGTGCAATCCTGTTACTTTCAAATTGGGCTCCTGCCCATATTGAGGTTGGTATACCTCCACAACTGCAACAGAAGCTACAACTGCCACTTACCTGCTGATGTTCAAGTATAGCCCTGCTGAGCATTACTATGCGTTTCAGAGTTTCCAAGATCAGCCTAAGGAAGGAAACACAGTTGTGTATCTTAAGACCATTAATATGAGTGAACAGCATAACACATTGTTGTTTGGATTAAACAAAAAATTCCCTTTTCCCCTAACACCAAAATAAAGCATACTTTCTTTTTAGTTAATTCTAACATTCCCAATCACAGAGGTTGGAAGGAATTGAGGAAGGCCAGCCACTTGACAATGGCCAAGAACTGAAGCTCCTGAATTATGGTGCGTGGCATGGTGCATCATGGAAATGCAATATTTTCAGCTGTATTTCTGACAGAAATTAAATTTCTCATATTACACTTCATATGCGTGCACCTGTTAATATTGGGCGGGAAATTAAAAGCTAATTTTAAACATGTTTAAAACTTTCAGGTCCTTTTCAAAGACGTTAAGCTCCTACATGATTAATGAAGGCAGCAATGCAGAGGCAAAGCTGGGTTACAAGCCTGTAATACATACTCAAAAATTATAAACGCTGGTAAGTCACACATTAAAGACAAAAAACTCTTAACTACAAACAGTTCTCACTAGTGAATCAAAAATTATGATCTCTGTAATCAAAGGTTGGTTAATTCAGAGCCCAAATGTAAATCCACCCCAGGTATAAGTGGTCTGATCATGCTGAGTGTAGGCAGAAGGTGATGGTATATCATTCAGTCAAAACAAGAAGGAAGCTTGCTTTTTAGAAAGGTACAATGAAGTCATGTAGAAACATGTCACATTTAACTGTGTAAAATCCATTCCTTTCTACCCAACCTTTCCACAAGAACACCTTACCGTGACTCATTATCATTTTGCTTCACTTTGTTTTTGAGGGCAACCAAAAGTTGGATCCTACATAGTGTGGGGGAAAAAACGTATAAATGGTGAGAACTGATAAGAAACTGAGAAAGTAGATTTTGATAAGTAACAGAAGAGATATTGCCATGGTTCCATTTATGTCCACTTTCTCATTGTAATTACATACATAAAATACTCAGTACCTTGTAAATATCATACTTGTTAAATAATGGGGCTTAACTCTCACGATACGAAAGGGGCATCAATGATTATTTGTGAGAGTGACAACTCCTTTCTCTCTTGCCAAACATACTTAGACACCATTAATCCCAGAGTCTGCAAAAGGGAAGCTGGGCAAAAGCAGGAAATCAAATGAGCAGCCATGTAGCACAGGAGAGGTGTAACAGCTATCAATTTCCACCTTTTCAAATGCATTTGTAAAATACTGCCAAGAATTATGTTTACTGATTTATACAGCCAGACTTTCACAATCTTGCGGGAACCTTTTTGTTTATATATTTCAACTTGTAATTTTTTTTTTCCCCTATGGTATCTCCATCTGCATTCCTACTGGCTCAATGATACTAAAATCTCTCGTGTTTGTTAATACACCCCATAACACTTTGAAATGCTATGTTAATCAGAATTATGTACATGTATGTGCACACACATAAACAAACAGAAAACCCCCAAATAAACAGGAAGAAAATTCTACCTTTGCAAGGCTAACGTCTTGTTCTGTAAAGAGACTACTACTTTCTCCAGATCTTCTTTTAAGTTTTGTATGGCACTAGAGGAACCAAAAAAATAAGAGAACAACAAACAACCCCAAACAGTGAAGATAAAAAAAAAATAAATTAAAAGCAATGTCATGTTTGTACATTTGTCAACTTGCTCTCTACATGTCTAAAGTAAGAATTTTTCCTGTAAACCACGAATTATTAAGGCCAGGAGTATTTTAGCATGTGGAACTATAGTAGTGAATTCTAGCAATCACAAGAAGGACTGTACATTTAGAAGCCACATCAGATAAAAAACTACATTAGGAGACTGAGTAAAATATTTCTTCCCCATATTTTCTCTTAATTCCCTTTATTTTCACCAGACTCCTGCAAAGTACTGATTGTTAATGCGGAGATTTACTAAGAAGGAGTAACTACAACAGAACCTTCAAGCTCAGTTCTTAATCCTTCTCCTCTTTGTTTCAAAATACATCAAAAGTTTGAAGTTATCCAGTGACATACCTGTTGGTAATACCTGTTTGTTTAGCGATGCCATCAAGGAAACTTTCTTGACCTGTAAAGAAAGAACGTCACCAAAAAAAGCACAGAGACTTTTAAATACAATCTACAGAGCATAAAGGATAAGCAGCTCAAGGGCTATACAAGGTATTTCTTATTCCTACCTCTATAGCTTATCATCTCGCCCACTGTTGGTGAGACTACACTATCAATCAGCTGTATCAGAGATATAATTAGGCTTTAACATATTTCCATTTGGCACTTCCTAGACGTGCCAGAGCTGGCTTACAGCATTGCTCTCTTTATGCAGCCGGCTGGTTCTGTGGCAGAGGCCGTAAGCACGGGAAACACAACGGGAACAAGAGGAAACACCTTAAATCGGTGTGGCTGGCAAACACATTTGGCAGATTTTTGGTAAGGCTTCAGCACCAGCGACCACGTTCCTGAGCACGTCCGTCGCGTGTCGGGACGCGGGAGGAGTCCGAGGCGGAAACCCGTGAGAAAGGGCGGTGGGCACCGACCGCGCGGCGGTTTTGGGAGCATCCAAACACGTCTCCCAGAGCGGTCCAGAAAATGCAGTAAGACGTGCAACCGAAAAAAAAAAACCCAAAACAAACCACCAAATAAAACAACCCACCCCATTTTGTTATTATAACGACCACTTTTGATTAAATAATTTTAAAAGAGACAGACGTTAGCCACGTCACTATCACCGCGACACGACAACAAGCGGAAGCGCTGGGGGTTGTTGGAGGGCGCGAGAGCGGGGACGAGCTTACCGGCATGAACCGCCGTGCTGTACTCCATGAGCTGCTGCTTCATATGGTCCCTCAGGCTGCACCAGAAGCAAAGCGACAGCGGTCAGGCAGACCT